GGACGTAGCTGTGGTAGGAGAGAGGGAAGTACAATAAGTGTCTCCTTCTTTCTTTCCCATTAAGTCCTAGGTCAGCCCCAAACCCATGCCAAAACCTAGGGTACTATGTTGGAGCAAGTTGAAGTTTCCCATGGCAGTTACACCTGTATGACGTGAACAGTAATTATTTTCAATGGTTCCTTTCTCTGCCACCCGGTCGTGATCTAAGCTGTCAAAATCCTGATTCTAGGTTCCTGGGATGGATGCGTTAATTATCCCACTCACCACCCATTCTTTGTAATACCCACTAAAAATGTGAAGAGAAGGGAAAACACAAATGTCTACATATGCCCAATAAGGTATTGCTAGGAATTAATCAAAACAAGAATAGAGAACCCAGCAACCAACCGATGGAGCATCGACATCCTCAACAGACACATGCACCGGTTATAAAATACAGCCGGAGCAGGTGCCCGCCCCGAGCAGGCCGACCCTCCGGGCCTCGGCCACTTTCCCACGGAGCGGAATCCAACTGTCCACCTCCCAGGGCATTCAGGAGGAGGAAGCGATTTTGCGAAATTGCTTAGGAAATGCCCAGCCACCAGTAAACCCTAAGTACACGTTACCGTTGGTCACCAGGCCATAATCGTGTTCAATGGCGCGCTGAATGTGTGCTGTTACGTTTACAGTTCATCCTTTCGAGTTTCTACTTAAATTCTTCTGCGGGACTCAACTGGCCTTACCTGTCCTGTTGCCACCATCACTGAAGTACACGCATGCGCCCTCGTTGGGAGGGGCATTTTTCATAGAAATAAGATAAAGGTTTTATCCCACGGAATCATCGGCACAAGACAACGAGGGACTGCTGCTCTGCCTTAGCTGAGGAGACAGCAGGGATGGCTGGAGGCGGGGCTGGGACTGGGACCAGGTCTGTCCCATCACTAAGCCGCAGGACCCACTCCCTTTACTCCCTTCACCTTCACTTCAGTGGCCCCAGTGTTTCCTTAGATGCTCAAACTCTCCTTCCTCCACATGCGCATGTCCGTGTGCACACATGAGAACTGTGGTAGGAAGTCTGAGAGGTAGGGGGCCCTCATCATAAAAGGCTCCTGCTGCACAGGGCCCATTGGAAGGTCGCTCGGCTGGGCTCCGACCCAGCTCAGAGCCAGAGACAGACACCCTATCCCCGTGGGCAGCGAGGACCCGGAGGGAGGGCGGGACTCACGTGGTGACAGTGTTGAAGCCGCAGGCCTGCAGCTTCAGGAGGCGGTCCCGCCAGGACCCCCTGGGCACCCGGAAGTAGTGGATGGAGCCCCCGAAGATGAGGAACTTGTGCCCCTCCAGTGTGAAGTGCGGGTTACTGGCAGGCGTGCTTTGCGTCTGGAGTCCCACCGTGCGGTCCAATCTGACAAGACATACATATTCTAAGTGTTATAATTTCTTAAAACACACACACACACACACACACACACACACACACTGGGGGGGGGGGGGGAGAGAGAGAGAGAGATGGGCAGAGAGACAGAGATGAAGAGAGAGGAGAGACGGCCGAAGCCCAGCAGAAGACGCTCTTGCTAGCAGGACACACTAGCTCTGTCCACACTTCTGATACTCTTTTCTCCAGAAAAGGAGAGGCCCTGCCCCATCTCCCCTCCTCCCAGTACCCCTCCCCCCCTTCCCCCACAGACCTGCCCTGGTGCGGCTGCGGCCCAGCTTCCCAGACAGGAAGGTTCTCTTTCTCTTTATTTTTTGCCCGAGGAGCAAAGCCTGCTGAGATCAGTGGCAGGAAAAAGACGCTCATGATTCTCTTCCATGAGAGACGTGGGCTGGAAAGAGGAGAAATAACAGTGAGGGGACGGCAGTGGCCTCATCCGGTTCTATGGCCCAGAACGCTGCCCTCCAGGCAGGCAAGTGGCCAGGGCACTGGCTGGGCACACACAGGGCTCCCGGCCAGCCCAGGTCCCTTCCCCCCTTCACACACCCCCCTTTCCCTCCTGCAACTCCTCCTCCCACCCTCCACTCAGTCAGGACAGAAAGCTGGGGGGAGACCTTCAGTCCTAGGAGCCTCCTCGGAAGCCAGACAGGGCTGGGCACTGGGGCAGCGTCTGGGGAGGGCTCAGGTCTCAGTGACCGGTGGCGGCCCCTCGGGCACCAGACTCGGGAAGGACAGGGTGTCCTGCCACTTGGCAGGGGACCAACGCTCCTTGGCGCGGGCATCACTAAGGTGCCGGTGGAAGAAAGCTGGAGGGGAAGAGCTTGTAAGGGGGCGCTGATGCGTCTCAGGCAGATCTGAGGGTCCAGGAGGGCGGCCAGACCAAAGGGGCCCTTGCCCCAGGTAGGCGCGACGAGTCACCTGAGGCGCCTCTGGGAACTCATAGCCGGAGGCCAGGGTGCCGAGGTCCCGCTCTGCTCCCGCCGCCTCCCCGCAGGGGGACCGGGTTCAAGTGCGCTGACGCTGGGAACTTCGAGGCCCCGTAGGGAGTCCGGGGAGTCCGGGAGCTGCTGGGCAGGGAGGGCTGAGCAACGGGCTGGGCTCTGGGCAGCGAGGACAGCGCTCTGTGCCCACGGGGCGTGGGGCCGCCTGAACGCAGGGAAGTGAGTGGGAGGGTCCCTCCTTAAACTGGGTGTCACCAACCGATTGAGACAGAAACGCGGACACGAGTGGGAGGGAAGGACAACTTGGGCCACACCATGTACCGGAGAGCAGGGGAGTTCCGTTCAGCAACTTGATAGCAAGGGCCCTGATTTTGCTTTGACATAAATCAAAAGGTGAAATGTGATGTGTGCCACCAAATGCCTATGTCAACATTATTTTATTTGTTTCAATTACATGTTCTTTTACCTTTTGTAATTGGAAGTAGCAAGCCTCAAGGCAACTGATTATTTTATTTATTTTTTGGTTTGACATATCTATTTAATAAATCCATTGGATTTTTCTCTTCTTTTACTTTTATTTAGCATTACATAATATTGGCTACCTATTTGGAAACACTCTTCTTGGCTTTCACAATGTTTCTCTTGATTCTCCCCTTTCTATTTTTTTCTTCACACCCACCTCCAGTCTTTATTTTATGAAAATGAGTGTAGTTCTGTTCACTAATTCTCACATCTCTTCTTGCTCTATATGCTGTTCCTGGGCTACATGATTCATTCTCATGGATTTAGCTAATCCTTATCTATAATTGCTCCAGGGAGTGCCCAAACTGGACATGTTTCATACTCCCACTTACATGATGAACACATCCACTTGGATATTTTGCAAGAAGCTCAAATTCAACATAACAACTGATTATTTTAACTAAAGCTGTTACACGAAAAATGTGGGTAGGAGATACTTAAGGAAAAAAAAAGGACAGAGAAGTAGAACCAGTTGCTCTGTTAGGATAATGTTCAAAAAACGTAGCCCAAAGTGAGGATGGACGGGAAGTTCACCGAGGCATGCATTATCCACCAGGTGGCCGTTTATTTACAATGGGAGATGCCTGTGGCCTCCGGGGCAGAAGTCTAGCTCTGACTCCGTGAATTTTATCATATGCGCATTGATGGACAGGGAACTCGATTCTTCAGCCCCAGAGAGGAAGATCTGCCTGCTGATCAAGGACAGTCTGTCCCTTTTTGCTGAATCTTGAACAGAACAAACTCCCTGACCTCAGTTCTGTGGGTGGAAAATACAATCCATTGAAGTCATTCGCAAACTTGAACAGCAACCTTCAAGGTTTCAAACTTCATACAGCAGAGGGTGGGTTGAAGGCAGAAAGTATCATTTCAGTCGTTCCAGAAACTAGCACTTTGCTGTGTCTTAAAATGGCTTTGGAGAAAGAGTGAGATTGTAATCTGGTCAAGTCGGTTGTTCAAAACAGATGGGCTTCAGTCTTCGTCCCAGCATGTTCCATTCCTTGCTACTCATGATGTGGAAACGTTAAGCACGACCACCAAAATGTGTCTGTCCTGTGCAACTCTGCTGCGTGAAGGAGACTCCAAGTATGTCTGGCTGTAAGGGGTGGGGGTGGTAGGGCAGAGAAAGATAAACACACCAAAATGCTTTAGTCTCCACGTTAAGTTATATTTAGTCAAATTAACTTTCCTTGGCCGGGTATGTCAGTTTAGGAGCAGTTCCACTGTAGTGCTTGCATTGGTTTAGAATATAAGATTTAAGCTCCTCCAACATTGTACTAAAACATTTCAATAAAATCATGCCATCCACCACTTCCTTTCACACACACACACAAAAGTACTCAATTCCCACAAATCTAGTCTCTGTAGGACAAAATGTCTAGTTCACTATTGGTCCTTGCATCTGAAAACCCGCCTGGCATATAGCAAGCCCTCATCAAGGGCCTGTTCACCATGTGAGTGGTTTCGGCAGCCGCAGGAGAGAGTGGAGTCCTTCTTACACAAAAGAATGACAGCCTGGCCCGAACCGGTTTGGCTCAGTGGATAGAGCGTCGGCCTGTGGACTGAAGGGCCCCAGGTTCAATTCCGGTCAAGTGCATGATGCCTTGGTTGCAGGCTCCTCCCCAGTAGGAGGTGTGCAGGAGGCAGCTGATCGATGTTTCTCTCTCATTAATGTTTCTAACTCTCTATCCCTTTCACTTCCTCTCTGTAAAAAAAAAATCAATAAAATATATTTTTTTAAAAAAGAAAAAAAAGAATGACAGCCTGAGATGGGAAACACAGGGCTCAGGCTGGGGGAAGGCTCTGGAATCTTGGGAAACCAGTTTGGGCGACAGGAAACAGAGGAGACAGAACTGGCTGTTCTTTGAGATAAAAAGCTTAAAAGCCATTGGTCTAGCCCTAGCGGGTTTGGCTCAGTGGATAGAGCGTCGGCCTGTGGACGGAAGGGTCCCCGGTTCAATTTCAATCAAGGGCATGTACCTCGATTGCAGGCTCCTCCCCAGCCTGGTCAGGGCTCCTGCCGGAGGCAACCAATTGATGTGTTTCTCTCACATCCATATTTCTCTCTGTCTTTCCCTTTCTCTTCCATGTTCTCTAAAATGGAAAAATATCCTCAGGTGAGGATTTAAAAAAAAGTCGTTGATCTTTGTGAGACTACTGTTATCAGATGAAGTGGGGGTCCTTTGCCCCAGTGGCTGCTGGGAGTGGAATCCTTAGATATCTCGAGAATAAGAATTGTTTGAGACTCGCATGGGAGAATGGATGTCTGCTTTATTTGTCTCAACTTGAAATTCTCACGATTGACTGTATTTTGAGGGCAGGTCATTTTTTAATCCATTTTGTCCTCAAAGACCGAGAGGAAGGATGGGTGCCTCTGGCCTTCAGAACGTGGAACACTGGCTCTGAACCGCAGCAGTTGGGCCCACAGGTGCATTGTGATGT